GAGACAAGTGTGCTATTAAATCAGGCACAAATGTCATGGCTGGCCGCAGACCGATCCAGGCAGCGCTGGTGTGTTGAGTGGGGAAGTCTGAGGGGCCACAGGTCCAACAAGAGGCAGCGTGCAGACTCAGGAAGTGTTGAGGAAGTGGCAGAGATGTGACGTCATCAGGACCGAGGCAGGGGTCCCGAAGCTGAGCTGCCCCTGTGGGTGCTGCAGTGGTGGAGATGGTGCCGATCACTGTGCTGCTGTTAGCGTCACCTGAACCAGACTTCAAGGCTGCTGGACCTGCCCCCGCGTGTGGGCTTTATTCTGCCTGGTTTACAGGGCCACTTCGAAGAAACCTGTCTGCAGGGCCAGGGGAAAGGAACCGCCTCTGGGTGCAGTGTTCGCGTGAAGAGCCGTTGGAAGTGGGTGGGAATGGAAAAGGCGGCAGCTCCCATTTTCTGAGTGCCTCTGGGTGCCACGTGCTGAGTTCATTTACACGGATTAGGTCAGACCTTCTGGGAGGGCCTATTTCTGTCCCTGTTTAGTAGAAGAGGAAGAACTTAGGTGTTAGAGCTGGGCCTTAAGCCCTTGTTGGCTGGATCCAAAGCCTCTTTAGCCATGAGGTCAAATCATTTCACCCAGAGCACTGCTGCTATTCACATTCTTACCATCAGGGAGCTTTCAGGAAACGTAGGTCGTCCAGTCACAGATTCAAACCACACAATCTCGAGTCCTGGAGAATGCAGCCAGCCATTCATTTAAAAACAAAAAAATAAAAAAAAAAAACGCCCAGAGCAAACACGGCACAGAGCTGGGACTACAAATGGCCTCTTGTTCGGTGTCTCTGGTTGCCTCGAGTCAGAACGGACTCAGTCTTCTCGTCTGCTCAGGTCCAGTGCAGCCAGTGTCTGCACAACCTCGGCAGTCCCTCCCGGACCCGGAGGGAAGCCCTGCCGCCCTGCAGAGCAGCCCTGCGCTCTCGGGAGCCCCCTGGCTTCTGGCGCTCACAGCAGTGACTCTGGCACTGGAAGCTCCAGCCGAACGGGACAGACAGCCGGGACAGACAGCGTGCCGTCTGGAAGAGTGGCACACCCCCGCGCTCTCCTCCAGGCCTCAGGGCCCGTTTGGCTTAGCGAGTCCTCATATGAGTTGCATTTTACAGCCCTGATTGAAATGGGCAGGGGTGACGAAGAATGGGAAATGTTAAAATGTTATTATTCAAAAGCCCTTGAGGTCCCCATGGATCAGAGTAGTAATTAAAATGCAGCACAGAAGACCCCTTGCTTCAGCAGCTCACAAGGGAAAAGAATGAATTAGGATCACAAGTTGGAGGGCTGGGAATTCGCACGCTGGTGTGTCCTGGTCAGCAGACAGCTGAGCGCGCCCTGTGGGGAGGGCAGTGTGGGCGGAGGGCTGGGAGCCTTGTGATTCCAAAGGTGGGAGCACCCTGAGTCCCAGTGGGAAGGAAGGCCTCAGGCCTGAGGGTTGTCTTCTGTGAGTCCTCAAGTCCTGGAGACCCCACACGAGGCGTGCTCTGCGTTTTCTGACGTATTTCCACTTCTCTCCCAGCCTGTCGAGGCTTTTCTTCTCCTTCATGCCCAGCTCAAAGGCTGCCTCCTCCGAGAAGCCTCCCAGTTCTGCTCACTGTGCGTTTGGCTTATGCTTTTCTTAAAGCCTCTCTTCAGTTTTGCCTTGAATGCTCGTCATTTCTGTGTGTGCTTGTCTTGTCCAGTGGCTGGGAAGCCTCTGAGCAGACACAGTGTCTTCATCTTACTTCCCTTGGTGCCCCCAAAGGCTGGCATTTCGCATGTGCTTATTGATGGGATGGGTGGTCAGGGCCTGTCTCGGGTCTCACTTCATTGCCTCTGTCCCCTCCCGCTGTCCAGAGCGGTTAGGATAATGTTGTCACGGGTGTTTGTACTTGTCATGTACATTGTCTTTGATGGTCCTGGAGAGGAACAGAGAAGTCGTTGGTCTCGTCTGTGAGCAAAACATGTTATAATGGATCCTGTGCGGAAGGCAGTGCAATTGCTGACATCTGTGGAGAGCTAGCGTGGGCCAGGCGTGGTTCTAAATGCTTTACATGTGTAATTTAATTCCCACAACAGTCCTGTGAAGTAAGTAGTACAGAGATTTCCGAATAATGCACGGGAAGACTGGGCACAGAGTTAAATAATTTGCTAAGCTCTGGCTCTTGATCAGGACATTGAGTTATCACCTTGTCCCTAAGACCTAATGTCACCCTGACCTTACGGAAGGGAGGGACCTTTGAGGAGATCTCTCCCTGCCCGTTGAGTTGCCAGGAAATCTAGTGTAGGCTTGAGTGTAGCTTTTTATGGGAAGAGAAACCGCCTTATATACGGTCCTGAGGCTCTTCGATCACCCTTTTTAAATACCGCGGTGTCCGTCCCAGGGTGTCATTGTGAGAGACCCTCCACAAAGTGTCTCTGGTGGGATTCTTCCTCCTCACATAGTTCCTCCTTCCATAAGTTTCCATTTCTCTCTCCGCCCACTTCCTTGCGCTGGCATCGCTCTGGTGTTGAGCTCTTGGCGTCAGTCTGTCTTTCTTCGTGGAAGGCTCTCTCGGACGGCGGCTGTGACACAGGGCCCCATTGTTGGCTCCCAAGGCAGCAGGCAGAGCATGCTCTGGGGCCTGGTCTGAGGCCCACGCGGTGCGAGCCCTGCTGGCTCCCGATTCTGGACGAGGGTGTTTTTCTTTTGTTGTTGGACTCACACCCCTCACACCCCTCCCCCAAATGATTCAGTAAGAAGCTAGACTGATGCAGAGAAACAGGAGCCTGCGCCCCTGTACCCCTGCAGTTGGGCAGGTGCCCCTGGGCCAGGCTCTGCAGGAAGGGGCCTTTCGGATACGGTCCCAGAGATGGCAGAGTACAGCTTGGTTGGCTCTCCCCACGTCCTCTTCCAGGCGTGCAGTGGGCCTGGGCCTCTGGCCGGTCACGTGTCCTCCCTGTGGCCCACCGAGCCACGGCACCGGGCAGCTTCGTTCCGGCGGCAGTGCTCCTGCGTGCTCGTGGCCCTGAGCGCAGCTGGGCGGAACTCCGTGTTTGTGGCGTTTCTTCTCCCCGGGGATGGTACAGGTTGTTAGTGCTTGTCCCGTGCTCTGTGCCTGGCCTTCGGGGAGCAGGGTGGTGAGTTAGGGTGTGAAGTCCTGATTCAGTCGCGTTTTGAGGAAGGAGATGCCCAAGTTCTTACCTGTGGGCTGTATAGTCAGAGCTGGAGAAGGGAGTGAAGCGGCTGCCCCTCCGCAGCCCTGCAGACTTGCCAAAGCTGAACAGAAGTGGAGACTGAACTGTTCTTCTCGAGAGGGTGGGGTGAACGGAACCACATCCCCGCCCAGACCTCAGGGTGACAGGCTCGGTGTGAGAGCTGTTGTTGGGACCCTTCCTTAAAGGCTGTGTGGAAGAAGGGCGCCGTGGCACACCAGCATCCTGCATGGGCAGCGGCGGCTGTGGTGGTGCAGTTTGACGAAGTGCCCCCTCTGACTGCCCTGTTCAGGGTTGGCACTGAGCTTCAAGGAGCAGCCTCGGGGCCACGGGAAGCTGATGAGGGAGAGTGGGTGCTGTGCAGGTTCCCAGGCAGGGCTCTGCAGCCCCTGCGGAGGGGGACGTCTGCCCTCACGGTATGGGGGATGCTTGGATTCTCATCTCCATCGTAACACAGAAGGGATTTTGAAGGCCCTGCAGCCCAACCTACTTACTTTAGATATTGGAGCCCCGCAAGATGCACTCAGTGCCCAGCCGCACGGCTTGGAACAGCACAGCCGGGGAGCGGGGCTCCTCCTGAGGCCTGCGCTTCTCATCCGTGAAGAGTTGAGCTCGACCCTTTCAGATATAAGGTTCTCGGACTTCATGGACAGCTCTTGGGAGCTTTGGGCAGACGAGGGGAGCAGTTGGTATACGTGCCATAGCTTACGGAGAAAATGCAGTGAAAGACCAGCCTTGCCCATGAGCTGGGACTGGACCAGGGTTGTCTTCTACCTGCCGCATGGGTTAAACTCTCTTAATGGGTCCGAGTCCATGCCGGGCGAGCCCCTTGGGTGTCCAGTGTGAGACCGATGTTGGGTTCTGATTTGGTCAGTTTCTATGCTACTTCAGGGCAGAGGTATTTGATAGCCTGGGGGAGGGCACAGTAGCAGTTGGCCTCCTGAGCTGGTAGTGTCAGATTTCTGGGATGTGAGGGAAGTCGGGGAGCTGCAGATGTCTCTTGGCATTGACAGATTAGACCGTCTTATTTTCAGTGGATCACCGAAGGTTAAACTTAAACAAATAGGAGCAGCTGGGAGGCTTTGGAAGGGGGAGATGTGCACGTCTCAGAAGAAGCAGAGCCTGCACTCCCTGCGGAAGGAAGGGGGAGGGTGGGGCTGCACCAGCCCGCTCCCCACCCCACCCACCCCAGGAAGGAAGCCTCATTTCTCTGCCGCTTGTTTTTTACTTTCAGCGAAGGAATTCCAGAAGCTACAGGTTGTGGATCATGACCTCTTTCATTTCCCTCCGCGCGGCTTGCCAGAGGGCGGGGCGGGCTGGCGGCTCTGAACAACACTTTGGCCTTTATGGGAGCGGATCAGATGTTCCTGTCCCTGCTCACACTTGCTGCTTGGCGCGCTCGCTCACTCTCACCCCGCGTTCGCGCACTCGCCTCGCGGCGTCCTCTCTGCAGGGTACGTTAGCACTTCTCGCCTTATATAGAAGGTCTGGTCGTTAATATTAACAGAAACCCAGCAACAGGGAAGGCTGCCAGAGAGCATTCATCAGGCCAGTGTTTGGAATTTCATAAATGCTCTGACTTTGGGTACAAATTGAGCATTAAGAACAATACGAAACTGTTTTCTTCCTTCCTCTCTCCTCTCCCTCGCCCTCTCCCCAGCCCATCCAGTTTCTCGCTCCTTCCCTCTGTGTTTGAATTCCTCTGCTCTGCCGTATGCTCGCTGCACTGGAACTTTGTTGACTTTTGCCACGTTTAATTTTGTATTTCTCTCTCTCTCCGTCCACTTCAAGACCACAGGCGGAGCAGCGGCAGCCGGAGCCAGGACTCTGCGGAGGGACAGGACGGGCAGGTCCCAGAGCAGTTCTCGGGTCTCCTCCACGGCTCCTCCCCCGTGTGTGAGGTGGGGCAGGACCCTTTCCAGCTGCTCTCTGCCACTGGCCAGAGCCCTCCCGAGGGGTCCCCGGCGCAGGGCACCTGCCACGAGGCCAGCATGCAGCTGGAGGAGACGGGTGTGCGTACTCCCGGAGGCCCTCCGCCCAGTGTCCTGGACCAGAGTAAGAGAGGAGGCTACCCAGCAGGCCTGCCTACCACCAACAGCCAATCGCACCCCGAAACTTTGACTCACACAGCATCTCCACACCCTGGTGGTGCCGAGGAAGAAGGAGACCGGAGCGGGGCCAGAAGCCGAGTCCCTCCCACCAGCAGACCCAAAGCTGAACTCAAACTTAGCCGTAGCTTGTCCAAGTCTGACTCTGATCTCCTGACCTGCTCACCCACGGAGGACGCTGCAATGGGGAGCCGGAGTGAGTCCCTGTCCAACTGCAGCATTGGGAAGAAGAGGCTGGAGAAGTCGCCCTCCTTTGCCTCGGAGTGGGATGAGGTAAGGCTGCGTGACGTCACAGCGAGTGGCTGGCCCCAACCCACCACAGCTCCCCTGGGCGCGACACCCAGGGCCGGGAGGGGGCCAGGGCTGCTCCTGGCTCCTGCACTGTGGCCACTGGTTCTGACAGCTGCGAGGGCAGCGAGCCCCAAGTAGCCGGGCAGGTCTTCCTGCTTGGACCTCAGAACAGGTCTGTTCAAGGTTGGATGGGAGGGTGGAGCCCGGCACAGCATGGCAGAGGGGCAGTTCCCACAGCAGGGACATTTGGAAATACTAGATCCCATCAGCCCCACCGGAGGGGGTCATGCTCTTCCTGAAGATGCTTAGGGAAAGCTGAGTCCTTCCTGGAGTCTGCGGGAGGGCAGAGGCCCGGCTTAGCTAGAAGGGCGGAGGGAGGGGCTGGGCTTCGGGAGAAGCGGCTGAACGGGGACTCTGCTCTTCCCCACGCCAAGGTTTCTCCTGCTGTGTCCCCTGGAAGACCGAGGCCTCTCCCAGGCAGGCAGGCGAGGGCGAGGGGTTCAGGAAGCGGAGAGGTTAGTGAGGGGAGAACATTCAGAGTGTGTGAGCCAGGTTTCCCTCACAGCACTGTTATGGAATAATTGGAAATATATGCCCGAATATTTCTCTGTGACCTGTGGCATGTCTTGCTGGGCAGAAGAATGTTTCTCAGAGGTTGGTAAGCACCCAGGGAGTGTTCAAGGGCTGCCTTGACGTGGACTGGGTCTGGCTCCCGGGAGCACTTGCAGGAGATGAATTTAGCTCGAGGCGGGGGGGCAGTACAGCTGACACGTCCATTGAACAGTCTGTACGCTGGATGCCTGGCCCAGCTCTATTCTGGTTGCAACTGCAAAGTTATGTGAACCACAGCTGGTCCCTTTCCCGTGTGGGAACAGAGCAGGGCAGTTCCTGCAGCACTCCTATCTCTAATACGATGGGGTTTGGGATGGTTTGTGGGCAGCCTTCCCGATGGTGGAGCCGTGTGCAGTGAGCCTGTGCCCGGTGCAGTCCACTGAAGGGAGCCGGGCGGCGCGCAGCTCAGGCCTCAGGACCGTGCACAGCACATGCATGCAGGCGTGTGGTCTCTGCCTTTGTCGTCATGGTCGTGCTCACGGCAGCCAAGCAGGGCGTGGGCAGCCTGTGAGGAGGACGAGTGCCCTGTGCCGCAGGAGGGCGGCGAGGAAAACGTCGCAGGAGCACACGTGGGAGGTGGCCACTCACTGTCTCTTGTACATGGATATTTCTCTCTCCCCCATCCCTTCCACTTATCTAAACAGTCAATGGAAAAAATATCCTCAGATGAGTATTAACAAAAAAAGAAAAAGAAGTAGAAAATGAGATTGGGACCAGATCATGAGAGGGCCTTGAACTTGAGGCTGAGAAATGAGTATTTGGTTTGGTATCAAGGCACCATCAGAGTCCTTCCAGTGGCTGGAAGACAGCGCTGCCGGTCCAGCGCATTCATCACCTCTTCTCTGGCTCCACCTCCTGAGCATCCCTCTCCCCGAGAGGTCAGCAGTGCTGGTCAGCGGGTCCTTCGCGGATGCTCCTGCTCTGTTAACGGGCAGCGTTGCCAGGCAGTCTGTGGGCACCGCCGTCTCCTCCTGGAGGAGAAACAGCTCACCAAGGCACTGCCCAGCTATGGAAGTTGGCTGTTGGACTAATAGACCAGTTGTCTCTCGGCATCTGCATGAGAGGAAGGTCATATGCTGACGTTTCCTTTGCAGGTGGATACAGTGAACCCAGGGACCGTTCAGGGTGTCTTAGGCCCATTCGCAGTGCGTCCCAGAAGTACCGTTACGTTTTAAATTTGAGAAAATAGAAGGCAACTGAGGTTTTATTGGAAAGAATAGAGAAGATCCAGCTTTGCTTGCATAGTACACATTAACAGGGCCCTTTATGTGTAGCCCTTCAGCGTTGGAGTCATATTATACTTGGTTTTTCTGGGTCTCTAAAGAGAAACTTCAGAAGTGTTTCCCGGGACTTTGGTAGAGTTTCGTAGAGGAGCACATCAGGTACCGGCTGCTCCCCACCCTGCCCCTGCCCAGTGCCTCAAGGCTGCTTGTGTGTCTTGTGCTTGATGGTCTTTCTCTTGGTCACTGGATCCCCGGGAGGTGGGGAGGGCTGCTGCAAGGCTGCGGCTGTGACCCCAGTACGGGATGAGTGGTGCCTGTGAGCTGGCCCCTCCTGGGAGGCAGTGCAGGGTAGTCCACAGGCTCTGGCCAGAGTCAGCAGATCCAGCGTTGAGCCAGCGCCATCGACTCCACCTGGGGCCTCAGTGTCGTTACCCCTGCTTACAAAGTAGAGGCAGTCAAGTGTGAGTCTGAGTTGTTTTTACAGATTAAACCATGCCTAGCTCAGGCCCCAGTGTGACAAGTACTGCGTACATGGTAGATTGTTATTGTGCCTGGAGCTTTGGAAAATGCAATGTGAGGCCTGGGTGTCTTCAGACCTTGCGATGGCAAAGTGTGTAGGGCTGGTCCAATGTGGTGGAGTGAGTGGGAAGCAGTCAAGTTCAAGCCCCTCAACTCAGGACCTCCTGGGTGCCTCTGCCCCACCCAGACCCAGAGAGCCTGCCCAGACTGCCAGAGTAGGGCAACCCCCCCCCCCCCTTTCTGCATAACTCCCTGAGAGAAGAAGAGAGGTTATGGAGAAATGTGCAGCCCTCTCTGATGTTTACTTTTCAGAAGTGTTCTACGTACTGCAGTCCCCTACTCATCCATGAGGGGTACATTCCAGCACCCCCAGTGGAGACCTGACACTGTGGCTGCTAATGACCTCTGTGTTACACACACAGTTTCTTCCTATACATACCTACCTATGATGAAGCTTAATTTATAAACTAGGCACAGTAAGAGATTAGTAACAATAACTAAAAATAAAATAGTCCCTGGCCAGCTTGGCTCAGCAGTTAGAGTGTTGGCCCACAAACCAGAGAGTCCCGGGTTCAGTTCCCGCTAAGGGCACATACATCAGTTGCATTTTGTCCCCAGCCCCGGTTGGGGTCGTGTGGGTGGCAGCCAGTCGATGTGTCTCTCTCACGTTGATGTTTCTCTCTCTCTTTTCCCCCCATCTCCCTCCTGCTCTATCTGAAGATAAATGCAAAAACTCCGGTGAGGATGGATGGATGGATAGATAGATAAAATAAAACAACTGTAACAATATACTGTAATATAAGTTATGTGAAGTAGTGTCTTTCTCTGTCTCTCAAAATGTCTTACTGTGCTGTCCTCAACCTGTGCACGTAGAGGAAGCACTTCATGGCTTCCCTCTGGCATGCGAGTCGCCGGCATCAACACTGTTGCTCTTTGGGGCCATGAGTAAGTAAGATAAGGGTGACTTGAACACAAGCACTGTGTTACCATGAATGTCAGTCAGATACCGAGACGGCTGTTAAGTGGCCAGTAGGTGGGTAGTGAGTACAACTGGAGTCACTGGAAGAGGGATGGTTCATGTCCTTGGTGGGATGGAGTGTGATAGTGTGAAACTGTATCATGCTACTCAGAACAGTGAGCAGTTTTTTTAAAACTTATCTTTACTGTTGAATGTATGACAGATGTCCTCCCCTATTCCCCCTATTGACCCTCTTCTCCCGCCCCCCTCCTTCCTTTCCCACACTCATGTCTGTGTCCATTGGTTATGCATATATGCATTTAAGTTCTTTGGTTTATCTCATCCCACCCTCCCTCCCCCCTTCCCTTTGAGGTTCTTCAGTCTAGCAACCAACTTGTACTTCTTAATCCCTTCACCTTTTTCACCCATCCCTCCAACCCCCTTCTCATCTGTCAGCCAACAAAAAGTTCTCTGTATCTATGAGTCTGTTTCTGTTTTGCTTATTCATTTTGTTTGTAAATTCAGTTGTTGATAGATATATATTTATTGCCATTTTATTGTCCATTTTTTTTATTTTCAAGACCCTCAACATTTCATATAATACTGGTTTGGTGGTGATGAACTCCTTTAGCTTTTTTTTTAATCTGGGAAGCTCTTTATATGTCCATCGAGTTTAAATGATAGCTTTGCAGGATAGAGTAATCTTGGTTGTAGGTCCTTGCTTTTCATCGCTTTGAATATTTCTTTTTTTTTTATCCTCACCCGAGGACATTTTTCCATTTTTTGTTCAGGTAGAGTGGGAGGGAGAGAGAGAGAAACATCGATGTGAAAGGAACACATCGAGTGGCTGCCACCCGCACAACCGACCAGGGCCGGGGACAAACTGCAACCGAGGTACGCGCCCCTAGCGGGAACCGAACCCGGGTCTCTCAGGACCGCAGGCCGACGCTCTAACCACTGAGCCAAACTGGCCAGGGCCGCTTTGAATATTTCTTCCCACTCCATCTAGCCTGCAAAGTTTGTTTTGAAAAGTCAGCTGACAGTCTTATGGGAGCTCCTTTGTAGGTAATGAACTGCTTTTCTCTTGTTGCTTTTAAGATTCTCTCTTTGTCTTTGTTTTGTTTTGTTTTTTTATCCTCACCCCGAGGATATTTTTCCATTTTTTGTACAGATAGAGTGGGAGAGAGAGAGAAACATCGACGTGAAGGGACACATCGAGTGGCTGCCACCCGCACGACCAACCAGGGCCGGGGACAAACTGCAACCGAAGTACATGCCCTTAGCGGGAACCGAACCCGGGTGTCTCCGGACCGCAGGCCGACGCTCTAACCGCTGAGCCAAACTGGCCAGGGCTTCTCTTTGTCTTTAACCTTTTGCATTTTGATGATGATATGTCTTGGTGTGAGTGTGCAGTTTCAAACTTACGAATTGTTTATTTCTGGAATTTTTCATTTAATAATCTTTGGTGCGGTTAACTGCGGGTAACTAGAACCACTGAAAGCATAGGGGTCAGGGGTCTGCTGTAATAGCCAGCAGTGGCTGCTTGATTGATTGGTTGTTTGAGATGAGGTTTTGTAGTTGGGAACATACACAGTTGATGGGCTAGGAGTGAGTCACTTTCTCTAAACACAGACTGCACCTTTTAGGTGGTTCACAGCCCTTGTCAATTG